TAAATCTAAATCTAAATCTAAATTTAGTTCTTAAAACAACATTAACACAATTTTTTGTCCCTCCCTTCTAGGATGGCAAAGTGAATGGTGTAACAGACTCGACAAGGATTTTGGGATATACCTTTCTCCACCCAAGCGTTGTTCCACGCCCCCACGTGCAGTCCATTACTTTGACCCCTCAGGATGAATTCTTCATTCTGGGCAGCAAAGGCCTGTGGGACAGCCTCTCCGTCGACGAAGCTGTGGAGGCTGTCAGGAACGTGCCCGACGCCCTTGGAGCTGCCAAAAAACTTTGCACGCTGGCTCAGAGCTACGGCTGCAATGATAGCCTCAGTGCCGTGGTGGTTCAGCTCAACGTAACTGAGGATAGCTTCTGCTGCTGCGAGTTAAATGGGGTCCCTCCTCCCAGCCCCGGCAGCTTCCCCCAGTCTGTCAACGTAGTCATCAAAGATAAGCCTTCTGATGCTTTGGGAATGCCTTCGTCGAGCAGCGGCATGGCCTCTGAGATCAGCAGCGAGATCTCCACCTCCGAAATGAGCAGCGAGGTTGGATCCACGGCCTCCGACGAGCCCCCTCAGGTAACCATGAACGAAAACAGCCCCGCGTACCCTAATGAACAGCGCTGTATGCTCCATCCAGTTTGCCTCTCCAACTCCTTCCAAAGGCAGCTGTCCAGCGCGACGTTTTCCAGCGCCTTTTCGGACAATGGCCTTGACAGCGACGACGAGGAGCCAATCGAAGGGGTCTTTTCTAACGGGAGCAGAGTCGAAGTGGAAGTGGACATCCACTGTGGCCGGGCAAAGGAGAACCAGATGGTACTCCAGGCCCCGGTGGAAGTCACCGATGAGGGCATTGTCATCAGTGCGAATGAAGAAGACGCGTGCCCCCTTCGGAAGGCCGATGCTTCGGCCACCGGCACGATTGGGCGCCGCCGAGGCAATGGCTCAGTGGCTCCTCCGGAGAGGAGCCACAACCTAATCGAAGTAGCAGCCGACGCGCCACTCAGGAAGACCGGGGGCTATTTTGCCGCTCCAGCTCAGCCAGATCCGGACGATCAGTTCATCATCCCGCCAGAGCTTGAGGAGGAGGTGAAGGAGATAATGAAGCAACATCATGAGCAGCAACANTATATAAGTCTACTGCTATTGCTATTGCTATCACGACAGAAACCCAATATTATATATATATATAATTTAGATTTATAAGGACATTTAAATTCAAAAGTGACTCTGCACAGCATATACCAAAAAAACAATATAATGTCTTTTTAGAAAGGGGCAAAATTGAAATAGAAGAAACCTCACATAAGAGAGAAAACATATATCACAATCCCTCATGAAATATACATCTAATAGCTTTACCATAAAGCTATCCCAGAGCTTAGAGAAAAGTCAAGATCATTGGGAGGCCGTCCTTAAAGAAATATAAGGCAAAGATTCCTAAAATGCTGTTATGGACAATCACTACATTATCCATAATATTAATTAACATCAGAGGTATCCTTCCAAAACCAAAGGTACTTTCTTCAGTTTGCACATTTTCACCGTTTATAACATTTTTTTTTTAATTAAAGCATGTAAAAAGGTATGAAATACAAGACATTTCCTTCAGTTTCCCTTTCCCCATTCCTACATCCTTTTTCATGTTTGATCCAGTCTTTAAATGAATACAGGATGTTAAAAATTCCCTTATTTCATTTAAAGTCAAACCAAGCCAGAACTTGAGAGTATGAATACTACTTATTTTTACTTTTTAAAGAAAACAAATGTTTTTCCTTTCTGATATTAATCTTTTTTTTCCCCCTGAGGGGAAGTAACATATCTGAAAAAGACATATAATTGGGGGCATGTGAAAACAGTTTTTCTGCAGAGCAATTTCCTGAACACAAACAAAAAGAGTCCAGGCATAATTCATTTCCTTTTCCAACCTATAGGATTACAGTAAATCTGCATTTTCTAAGCCTAGAAATAGGAATTTGGTATGGTAGGGCTGTAGAAAAGAAACCCACAACTTGTTAATTTTGCCTTCTTTTAATGCTATGCGGTGCAGAAGGGATAGTATGTTAGTATGATAGTATAGGGATGGTGTGTTAAGAGTTATTTCATGCCGAGTTATCAGTTGCCATTGCAGCTAGTTCTTGACTTACAACAGTTCCTTTAGCGACGATTTGAAGTTACAATAGACCAGTGTTTCTCAACCATGGCAACTTGAAGATGTCCGGACTTCAACTCCTAGAATTCCCCAGCCAGCGAATGCTGGCTGGGGAATTCTGGGAGTTGAAGTCCAGACATCTTCAAGTTGCCAAGGTTGAGAAACACTGGTCTATTGTAACTTCAAATCGTCGCTAAAGGAACTGTTGTAAGTCAAGAACTAGCTGCAATGGCAACTGATAACTCGGCATGAAATAACTCTTAACACACCATCCCTATACTATCATACTAACATACTAT